CTTGTAAGAAACAATTGAAATAGCGGCTAATGGTGATCATGATAGGCTGAATTGGTGAAAAAATAGCCCCAAGGTGAGCGTGTCAGGGCCCAGATGTGCATTCAATGAATGGTGACGGGGAAATAATGAAAACATGCACGACAACAAAGCGAAACATGGAAAATACAAAAAATGCAGAGCTAAATGAAAAAAGGATAACCAGGCCGGCAGTAAATCGTTCCATACTTGGCTATTATCGATCAGGCTGCAGGGCGCAAGGCTGCGACCGCTTTCTTTGGAAAAACGTCATTGGAGCGCGGTTGTTGGACTTGCCAACGTCTTGGGTCTGTCTGGGGGGGGGTTATATCTTTTTTAGGTGCGGAGCTTTTGAGGAATGGTGAGCAGCATGCAACGGCAAAGTTTCTACTATTGTGTATTCTACCTAGCTGCAAACTGAACAATCCCCGTTGGTGAAATATTCCGGATGGGTTTTGGATAGGCTAGGGGTAAATCGCGAGCTGGTTTCCATGCTTCACGCGAGGATTGCTTCGTTCAACGCAATTTCATCAGGATTAAAAACGTCCTGAAACCCCTCCATCCTTTCTCTTTCCAACAAGCTTCACGGTTTTTCTGAAGACCCACTAGTTCAGGAGATATTTTAGATGGGTTACCCTTGCGCTACCCCCTGGACCACCCGAAAAATTGACTCCTTATGTGCCATTGTGAGGATACACCTTTCAGTGTGCCTCCAAAATACATATTTCCCTTCAAATGAGTGGAAGAGGAGCTCGGCTATCACTAATCGGTTTGGTCCGTGCGCCGTGCATTAGGCTCCTACGGAGAGGTGGTGGAAAGGTGTAAATTCTAATTTCAGGTGCTTTTATCCATGCAAGCAGATGTTTGTTTAGGGTTTGTAAAGGACAACACGCACGAATCTGTTTGAGACGTATTATTTAGTCATCTACGTACTTACGAGTTCATGCTATAAACTGACACTTATTTATTTATTTATTTATTCTTGCTATATTGCTAATAAATCTTTTATTATTTTGTATTCCTATTTACATCCGGGTCTTCTGAAGCTTTCCGTCCGTTCCATTACCCTTAGCAATGACACCTTTGTACTGTTTGATGCCTAGCGAGCCTACTTTTGCGATACTCCCACGTCCCCCGCGGCCAAGTACGAACCCATTCTTGGGGATTTCCCATGAAAAGAGGGCTGTTAAACGTAGCATTTAAAGCTGTAAACACTCATAATAAACTTCATTTTTTTAAACATCTTGACTTCCATAGCTCCACTCCCACTATCAACTGAAATGTCGAAGCATTGCTCGGCTCTGAGTGACCCTTGAGATTACGACCCCCCCTCCCCAGCGGCCCCCCCCCCAATAGCTGTCAACCATTGCCACCCGTCTGATAGCTCGCGCGCCAAGTAGCAGTGACCCTCATTCCTGGATGGTTCAAGATGTTTCATCAAAAACCAAATAATGCTGTAGCTGAATGTTTCTGTGAGAGCAGGTCATATACTTCTATTCTTCAAGGTCGTGTCTGTCCATTATCGAGTTCGCCTGCGAGCTCTCATATGGACGCCTGTCACTTTCATCGCACCATCGTGTTGATAGTCAACTAGTTTTTCTTGCGGCCACTTACAAGTTCCTATTCGCCGACCTTTACATAACTTTCACGCGAAGCTGTCTCTTAAGATAATAGGAAGATCGAGAGGCATCGAAAAGTTTAAACTCACGCGATATGGGCTTTGGAGTACCCATGACAGGAAGTATTGCAGTCCTCAAACTCGTTCGTAAAGTCGCTGTCGTACACTGAAAATAGAATTTGTTCTTATTTTCCATCCAAAACCGGACGAAGTAAGCACACAACATAGCCTTTGCCGATTCCGCGACGATCGAAGGGTGGAGACTTACAACCATTCCTTGCTTCCTACGCCTAATCCCCTCTTCTGATATGGTAGAGTGGGAGCAGCACTAATAAGGAAGGTTCACTTGTTATGATCTTCATCCACCAGATTATGGCGAAGTGTGCCTTTAAGTCCAGAGGAGCCTGCTGCATTTCATAGATCTCGTATTGTTCGTCAGTCACATCAACTCGTATTACGGGTTCCAAAACCGCAAGAAAGGCTGCGATGGCAGCCCTGACAATGGAAATGGCCCCGGTGGGGTTAGAAGGGTCACCCCACATTTTGTTACCTCTGTGGGTCTCTGGCTACAGTGGACCGGTCTGTAATTTCCGGCTACAGCATTTTCGCATGAGAGATATAAGAAATAGGGAAACGGTCAGTCCAAGGGGACATATTGCTCTCTCGCCACTTCCATTTGGTAAATGATCTTAGTGAACAGGTTTTGACCTGTAAATTGCTGTGATCTGCGAAGCAGTGCAACTACACAAGTTCTTTCAAAATTCACAGTTTTTCGTAAGTTAAAGCTTCGCTGGGAACCTTTCGCTGCCGCCATCAAGCCGAACTGAACTGCCATAAGGACTCATTTTACATTTCTGTGCGCGCATATTGTGTATCCCACTTGGAACGCGCATCCAGTAAGAGCAAATGTGTTGGTGTCTGCTGTCTCGCTCCTTTCGTCCCCTCGTTGTCAGGCCTCTGTAGTGAGGTACTTGCCAGTTTTCATCTCGGAGATTACCTAAGGTCTCCTATGAAAAAAGCCTTCGACGAAAATTGTTTCTTTTGGCTTTTCTTTCTTCATGATCATCTCTAGTAGAATGCTTGGCATACTGCCAAGGTCGCGATTTTTGATGCGAGAGCCCAGAGACCTACCGTACTTCTAGTCATTTTTGCTAGCTCTCGGACGGTGCTGTGAAGTCTTCTAAAATATTTTATCTGGACCTTACCGCTTTTTCTCTTCCCTGGTTTCTTCCCCTCAAGAGTAGACTGAGTTGCTTGAACTGTCGGAGGGACAAAATAGTCATCCAAGTCATCTTCATCTGAAAGTATACCAAGTTAAAATATAGCGAGCAGTAATCGCGCTCGATCAAAAATGGGCGCTATTCCAGTACACTGGGACTATTTGGTGCGATAGTTCATCGACTACGATAATCCCACCTTTG